CACTTGATTCATGTTAGACTTCATCGTCAAGCATCCTCTTCCCATACACATCTACTTTCAGTTCCGAGGTTGAAACAAAGCAAATGGGATGGGATCCTTATGCGGATACCTTTTCATGAAAGAGCCTGCAGTGTTCCTTCTGTTGCATCTTTTCACAGCCTTCTTTGTGAAATAGATAGTTCTCTTGTCAGCTATCAAGTGCTTGTGGCAGCTATCACGAATCTTCTGATCCCCAGCAGTGGCAAGGCATGTTTTGAGGTGACAGATGTCACAGTGGCGAGCTATTATGCCATCTATCTCTGTCCTCCTTGGCTCTGTCCATAGCCCGGCGGCCTGTACACTATCTGGCCCTCACTGGGCTCGTACTCAGATGACCTCTCTTGGGGATCCTTCTACTGTGAAGTTACACCTTGATTGTTTGCTCTCCGCTGCTCTCGCTGCTAGACTCCTTCCTCTTCCCTTGTCTTGTGCTTGGCAGTCCTTGACCTTTGACCACCCTACATGCAGTCCTCTTCTCACCAGTCTTTTCCTTGACAGGTTTCTTTCTTGTCACTGGTCTTCTTTGCTTCTCTTCTTCTTTACTATTAGCACCGACTCCACTATCCAAAACATGGCCCATCTTCTCCATTAAAGAGGATTCGACTCGCTGACAGTGTTTCCGGGGGTGAAATTGGAGCGTGGTCTTTTAGGTTTCTGGTGGCCCACTATCACCTTGAGCCCTCGCACTTGTTGAGCTTGAACTCAAAGCAAGGTTGCAGGTATCTTCTTCTAGACACAGAGGGCACCCACTAATACAAGATCCTGGTAGCATTGCATACGCTTCTGCATCTGCACACTCACTATCCAACCAAGAACCAGGGAAGTGGCATATTATTCCTTGTTTTCGTTTTCGTTTGTCCGGACAGGAATTTTGTGAGACTGACACATTTTCAAAAATCTCTCCCCCTTCCCCCATCCACTTTTCAAAAAATAGTTCTTGCCAACGAGATTGCTTGATTTTCATGCCAACGAACCCAAAACTACAGTATATAGAAAAGAATGACCCCAACCAGCCCCCAGCCCCAGTACTGCAACGACTATATTGATATCATACACGCAGGAAGTATGTACTAGAGAGCAAAAACGCATGCTACTATGCATGCAGTTTAACGACTACATCCACAGTCCAAAAATAATGAGACATAAATTGATTTCCTCCATTATGGTAAGGACTAAACCAACTGCAAGCAAAGATAGTCGACGGACAACATCCCAGATTCCGGAAAGCGCTAGCAAGGCGGGCCGCAGGAAGGTCCCTCCTCCATTGAAGTGGTGTGTCAAAAAGCGACAACGCTATCGCCCAGGAACTGTGGCTCTACGAGAAATTCGAAGGTACCAGAAGTACAACCGATCTCCTAATCAGGAGACTGCCCATTCAGTGTCTTGTCCGAGACATAGTTCTGATATTAGAAAAGAAATCAGGTTCCAAGGGTCTGCAATGGAAGCTTCCCAGCAAGCATCAGAAGCCATCTGTGGACATTTCCAATGTTCCAACCTTTGTGCTATCCATGCCAAAAGAATCACCATCATGCCAAAAGATATCCGGCTACCAGGAGGATTCGAGGTGGAAGGTTTTAGGTACTATTCTAGACCTGAAAAATTAACTTATAAGATACATGTGTTTTCTTTGTTGCCTTCTTTCATGCATACCCATATGTCTTTGTCAGTCAGCCTTGAATGTTTTTTGGTTTGCGTGAAGGCGTAATTTTTTCTTTTCGTGTACTTTGTGAATGTGACAACTCCTCTTCTAGGACGGTTAACCTGTGGTTATAAATATATATAGGTATACATATATAGATAGTAGTATACCTGGTCTGTGCAAGGATCGAATCATGCCCTGCCATCCCTGTCATGCCAACTCGGTCACATACATCTGCGGCCTGTTCGAACTCATTACTTAGCCAAAACTCTGGAGTTCACTCTGCCCCTTCTGTAGAGTGAAACTACAGAGCAAATTCATTGTTTGGCAGAGTTTTTTGTTTCCAGTGATCGTTGTCGGCTGATGCGTTCCTCGCGTCGTCGTCGACTGATCCCGCAGATGCTCGGTCGGTCTTTGCGTCACGATCTTCCTGCTACCGTTGGCTCGTTGCTTCGATAGGCTCCTCTTCTTCTTTTTCAGTAGTATGTTAGATTCACTAAGCTCTCTAGTTATTTTACCATTGTTTGCTATTCAGATATACTGAAAAAGTGTGGGCTCGTTTTTCTACTGGTGAAATTCTAGTACAGAGGTACAGGTTCAATCCCTAATCACGAATCCCCAACAACTTCGCTGACAGCCACCGCACTCGATGCTTTCAGAGTTGGACTCTTCCAACCCCACGGTGAAATCATCCCGTGGCAGCAAATGAGACGTAGCGATGCCACGATGACCGATGGCGAGCGCGCAATTGCACTATGGGACAAGAACAACAAGCCCGTTCGGTCAGAGTTCAAGGAGTTTCGCGACGAATCCTCTTTCATCAAATGGAAGAAGAACTTCCTCAACACGCTCAAATCCCAACGTCTCTCCCACCTCGTTGATCCAGACTTCGCGGTCACCAACGCCGAACTCGACGAGAAACAACGAGAATGGATGTACAAGACCTTCGAGGACATCTTCTTAGAGGCACAGGCACAATCTGTCGCTCTTGTCAACGAAGCCGGCAAGGACACCCGTGTGATCTGGAAAGCAATCAACGGATATTACTCCAAGTCCATGGTCGCAACCCTACGCTCAGACAAGATTTCGTCTTATCTTACCTCTGCAGACCTCACGGATGGTGTAAGGAGAGGATCCCAAACAGGTTTCATCTCCAATTTCCTCGAGAACTTTCGGCAGTACAATGAGATCAGTGACGAGCCGTACGCTGAGCAACAAGGAGCACGTTTCTTGGAACGCTCAATTTCAAAAGCACCAAATCTCGCTCCCGTACGACGTCTCGCTTTGCAAACCAAGAAAAATGCAGGAGCAGCTCTTCTCGAGCAAGCACAACTGCATGACAGCGCGAATCATGCAACGTCTACACGCTCCCGTAACAATGCGCGCTACCGTACCTACCAACACGAAATTATCTTTGACGATGGTACCGCGGAGACCTGTGACAATGCCTACGAGGCATTTGTCCATGACATGGATACGCCAGTGGAGGTCCTGTTGCAAGCTCATCAGATGGACACTCGTGGGCCACGAAAAGTCATGATGAACGGTCGCTTTCCAAGTCGGATCAAGAGGCATGGGATAATATCTCGGAAGAAGGGAAGAAGAATGTCCTTGACTACACGGCTGACTTAGCTGTTCGACGTAGTCAGCACAACTCTGGACAATTACGTCCATCCCACTCAGTCAACTCCCATGACTTTGTCGACGCGGGCAACTCCACGTCATGAACGAGCAATCTAGAAGTGTCCTCGCATCAAACCAAATTCCAATACGATGGACACCAACCTATTGCAACTCGCGTGCAACAAGACGCATTTAACGCCACCATCCTTCGCTGGTGACATCGCTTCCGTCCTATCACAGCCATCCAACATGGGTACACGCGAGGTACGAGTTCACGAGATTGATCGCTCATCTTAAGAGTCCTATTCCCACAAACTATTCAGCGAACCAGAGATTGATCCTGATTGGCAGCCCTTCGTGTATCTCTCTGATAAATCCGAAGGTAATCAAACACCACTTTTCCAAGCGGGAGCAACTACTGACTCCTGCCGCTGGATCTGTCAACCAAAAACACTAATAGCAACAACGATAACAATACGACGGTCACTTCTATACCATCACCACATCCAATAGACCCATTGGAAGCATTGAAACGAAGCGAAAGGACCTCAGGAAGCCTGTTATCTGTTATCTTGTTGAAGAGTACTGTTTTACTATAGGAATCCACTCAACGTCATCACAGAAAACACACATCCTTTTTCCTCTCTTTATCTCTCATTCAAGCCCTCCGGTTGACAGATCGACACCTCCTCTGGTATCTTCTATCAAGCGCACCTCTCCTATCAAGCAACTACCAAAGCGGCCTTCTCCGGTTCAGATTAGAAAGCCATCCCAATTGAAATCCTACGAGATCGGGCGGGTTTTCTATTCTCGACCGCCGACGGCCAAGTTGGAAGAATTTGAACACAAGAAGAAGTCGCCAGCTTTCAGTAGACTCAGCAGTGCAAGTTTCCTCCATTCCCTGCAGTGAACTCTTACTACCGACGGCCCAAGAAATCCCATTGTCGCCCTTTTCATACGATCGAACGATCATTCCGCAACAACAACAGGCCCGTTAACCTTACCCCTAAGGAATCTTGAATCGAATCGAATCTCCGTTTCGAATTGATACAAGACTCGCGACTCCGTGAATTGATCTTCCCGCGACCGTACCTCTTCTCCGTACCTCTATCCTCTTCGAACGACAGCCTCTACTACTATCAAGAAGGACTTCACGAGATACCTGCAGTGACCGTCGAGAACAGAAACACAGCTGTATTTCTTACTTTCTCACCGGCCACTATTGGCTTCTCCCGACGTCCTTGTTGGCATTGACCCTACTCCTGTTACCACTCCTCCATTGATATCTAACTCCTATCCAAGAGGAACCACAAACAAACAACAACAGAGTTCCTGTAAGGACTTGAGTTACAGGCTGACAAGCTGAACTTCAGAACTTGTGTATTCCACTGAAGCCAGTCAGTCACCTTGTTCAGGCTCTATCACCAGGCATGGCACATTTAGGCTTTTGAGCCACCTGGGATATCCAACTCCTCTCCAAAGGACCTCACCCCCACAAGAACTAACTACAAAAGTTGCCCCTCTGGAAGTGCAGATTGTGCAACACCTACATTGAACTACGATCGGAATATTGTGAGATTAGACTTAAAACTAGCGTTAAAGCACCACGTCACACACGTGCGTATGTCACTCTCCTCCACTGTGAGGCAACACTAGGCGCCGAGCATCAGTAACATTTAGAAAATGAATCAGGGGAACCTCAATAACCCGGACCGGTGGCAACCGGAGGTACTGGATGCTTTGGAAACACGCGCCGAATGTTCAGGCGCTCGAACTGATGAGGACTGAGCTGAATCGTTACATTGCCATTGGTATGAACGCGGGAAACACGGTAGGGACCAGAAGCCGTAGGCTTCAACTTATCACTGAGACCGAGATACGCACGCTTGTAGACCAGATCATCGACCGCGTAGTCATAGGAAATGCGTTTAGCATTGGCCCGCAGCAAACGTTTGTCAACCAAAGATTGACGGTGTCGTTGCACGGCCAGGATGTCTGCATAAATAGGAATGTCAAGAAACATATCTCGTTTGAAGGCAAGAGGACCAGGAGTGAGATACGCGTTCATACTCTGCACGGAACAACGATGAGCATGCATCGCTGTCGCCAAGGTTTCGGAAATGACCTTGATCCCATCAGTAACACTCTTGGGATCGCGCGAGACCACAATGGTTCTCAATACTTGACCAATTGCCTGATGAGTCCGTTCAATCATCGAGTTACCTTATGGATTATGAGGGGACGAGTAGCGATGCACTGCACCATTCTTTTTCACCATCGCAATGAATTCCAGTTTGAACTCCAGACCGTTGTCCATGACTACTTTCTTGGGTCGAGGATACCGAGCAAACCACGTATCTTCAACCACTCGGGCACCTTCTTCCGACGTGCGTCGCATGAGAGGCACAATCTCTAACAAGTTTGTGCAGGGGTCCACCATAGTCATAGCATTGAAAGTCAATGTCCGTTATCGTAACTCAATCGTCCATGGACCGATTGTGTCACAATGGACTTCCTGCCAGGGCATCGCCGTAGCATCATGTGGAGCAGATTCTCCATAAGCACGTCGTGCTCGTTTGTTCTTCGCACATGCTTCGCACTGCTCATTTGTTTTCGGACTTCGTCGCGAATACCTCTAGTATGGTAGAAATGTGTCTTGATCGTTTGTTCTAAACGATCCATGCCTTCGACATGTGCCATGGACTTGTGATAGAAGCTGACCAACTTGGGAAGCAACTCTTTTGTCAGGACAATCTTGTCCTCGTCATTCTGACAAAAGCATATCAGCTCACTGTTTCCAAACATCTTCTTGAAAAATCATTCCGGGTTATCAACCACGGTCTGTTGCAAGACTGCACTAGCCGCTTGGTACTCCGCGAGAACCGAGAAATTGAAGGGATTCCGTCCTTCACCGTCAAATGTAGGATGCTCCAGGAAAGATTCTTCCATACCATCGTCTGGATGATGCATCAAACATTCAGCCAACCTCTGATTCTCCTCCACAATGGAATAGCAGCCATCGGTAGATGTGGAGAGGGGATCGGAATCGGCAGGGTCACGATCTTCGCGAGAAGTGGGCACCCGGCTGAGGGCGTCGCCAAGGACGTTCTGGGGGCCCGGCTTGTAATGGAAGTTGGGACCAAACTCTTCCAATAGCAATCGCCATCGCATAACTCTTTGAAGATTTCAACGATGGAGAGCAATTCCTTCTCAATGGTAGTATAGTTCCTTTGGGCGGAATTAAGCTTGCGGGAGTAGTAAGCCACAATCCATCCGTTCTGTTTGATAGCTCCACCGAGCTGATAATCGCTAGCGTCCGTATCGATTTCGAATGGAACGTTGTGATCGGGATAGGCAAGCAGGGTGTCAGCTGCCGCCACAGCCTTCATGGCTTTGAAAGCGTGTTCTTGCTCGTCGGTCCACTCAAATTTCTTGGTACTGATTAGCTTTGTCAAGGGTGCCAAGGTGTGAGAACGACGAGGCCACATATCACGGTAATAAGTCACCAAACCGAGAAACGAATGCAGTTGTTTGATATCCGTAGATGCTTTCATGTCCAGAATGGCGCGCACTTTCTTCGCCATAGGCTTAACGCTGATGGGAGTCAACCAATGTCCAAGAAAATCTGTTTCTTGCACTGCCCATTCACACTTCAACGGATTAATTGTGAATCCGGCCTCCTGTAGGATCTTGAGTACTTGGTCGAGCTTGTCGAGACGAGAGCGCCAATCGGAACTGAAAATACCAATGTCATCGATGTAGACTTCGATGTCATCAAGAGCTTTGAGTAACTTCTCCATGATTTCTTGAGCAATATCCGGAGATTGAGAAACGCCCATAGGTAGTCGTCTGTACTTGTAAAACCCAAAAGGGGTAGCAATGGTACACAATTCGGAACTGAAATCGTCAAGTTCGAAGGTGTAATACTGCATCGAGATATCCAACTTGGTAAGGAATGCATAATTCTTGCGGCGAGCTAAGATATCAGCAATGCGAGGAATTGGATAAACCTTGCGTTTGATTGCTTTGTTGAGACCACGGAAGTCAGAGATCCACCTGACTCGACCGTCCTTCTTCGGAATGATGAAGGTACCAGCAATCCATTCGGAACGACTTCCTTCTTCAAGAACGCCAAGGGAAACCAACCTATCCAACTCTTTCTTGAAAATGGTTTGTTGGCGATGAGGAACAGTATAGTGTCGGCTTCGATGGGCCGGAACTGTAGGATCAATCTCCAAACTAATTTGTCCGCCGGTGTATTTGCCAAGTTCAGGACTGAACAAGGTATCATACTTCTCAAGGACACAACGAAGTTCATTCTGTTGTTCTTGAGAAAGATGAGTGCAGGACCGAACCACGCTGGTAATATCGGCCCCTTCATATTTAGATTCGAGAATGTGCTTGGTTTTGTAACCCAAGTCTGCTGCCTTCTCTTCTTCTTCACGAGTTGCAAAACATGAAGACTCTTTTTCGGATTCGGGGAGCATGTCGTCCAAATCGTCATCCAAGTCGTCTTCAAAGCAATCTGTGGAAGCCACTGTAGGCAGGGTATCGTCATCTTCGAGATCTGCTTCAAGAAGGTCAAGGAACATCGATGTAGCAGGAGGAGTCTTCTTGTCAACCGAAGACGTGGGAAAAGGTCTCATGTCGATGCTAACCTCGTCCCATGTCATCATGTGTCCCTTGAAATCAATCTTCAATCCCATTTCAAGGAGGATGTCGCGTCCAATGATCATATCATACCGAACATTGCTCGCAGAAAAGACACGAGCATGAGCAACATCGATGAAACGGGACTTGTAGAACTCTGGAAAACACAACCGGTCTAAGGTAACAACACGGTTCGATTTGCCGTTGCCAGCCAATGTTGTGGTAGACACAACGTCGCCAATACGAGGGACCATCGCCTCAGCGTGTTGCTCAAGTCTGCAAGGAGGACAGGCCCTGGGGGACTTTAGGAAGCGTTCGTTTGCTCGGTCGCAGGTGGTCTCTGACATGCCACTGAAAGTGGGCGGCGACTGGACCCATCCCATAGTACATGCCCGGATCCCCGAAAGCTCAAGGCTGGATCTGACCACAACCATCCAATACTCGCTGCTTTCCTCAAAGGACTCAGAGATGAAGATGGACCCCCTGACCGCGCCTACCCCGTCAACCTCTCCATCCTCCGAGCCATGCTCGATGCCCTGGACTACGACGACGCCACTTGGGGAACTCTCAACCGCCACGTCCGAGACCTCTGCATCCTGGCCTTCTTCTGGCTCCTACGCCCTGCGGAGTACCTGGACACCAGGAACCTTGAATCCCGAAGCCAAGCCTTTTGCCTCTGTGATGTCTCCTTCACTGTCCGCGGCGGCCTCCAAGTCCGCGGAGACACCATCTCTTTGAATGACGTGAAAAACCACGCGTGCCTCACCGATGCCACGTTTACGTTCACTGACCAAAAGAATGCTGTCCGCAGCAAGTCCGTGGGCCACCGCCCGACCTCTGATCCGTGGCTTTGCCCGGTGAAGTCCCTCGCGCGTGTGGTCTGCCACCTCCGTACCAACGGCGCCGACGCCGATACTCCCCTCTTCAACCACTTCAATGCGGCCCGCAACCGGTGGTATCCTGTGAAGCCCCAGTTCATCACCAAAAACGTCCGCCACGCTGCGGCCCTCATCTCCCACGACACCGGCATCAACCCTGACAAGGTCTCTGCCCGCTCCATCCGTCCTGGTGGTGCCACCGCCCTTCTCTGCGCCCATGTGAACTCGGATGCCATCCGCCTTCTCGGCCGCTGGAAGTCCGACGCCATGCTCCGCTACTTTCGCATCCAAGCCGCTGCCGCCACCCACCACTACTCCCAACAGATGTTGGACCATGGAGCGTACAACTTCCCGGGAGGCACCTACGATCGCCACCTCCTCCCGGCACAAGCGCCCCAACACTTCAACGAGATTCTTCTCCACGAAGAACTCTACGAGGACTAACCTACCCCTAGTCCTCGGCCCCCTGTCCTCGCCTCCACCTGAACAGGGGGTAACTTCTCCCACCCCGCTACGCTCCCTCCCTGTTCTGCCTTTGGCTTTGGGTTGCACGACTCAAGGCTGTCCCGTGGAACATCACATTCCCGGGACTCCCCTTTGCCGTGTGGGATCCATCCTGGACTCCCCAGTCCTGGAATGGTACCCCGGGGACTGGAGACGGTCGGCTCAGTAAATGGCCGAGTCTCTCCACTCACCTAATCCTCTACTAGTCGTGTCTAGCTGCTCTGGGCGAGCGCAGCTCAACAAGTTTCTAGAAGGATCAGTTCCAGTACTGAAGTAGTGGACTGGATCTCGCTGAAACCCTTCCTCAGGGACAGCGGTAGTCAGGCAGTTCAGGGAGCCTTGTCGTGCCTCAGGGGTACCCAGTGCCACACCCTGAATGCCCTCGCTGGTGCCCATCCATCGTTGGATGATGGGGGATTATCGAGCTTGCCAGCCCTAGTAGTCTCCAACCTCTGGGGAGATCATGATTGCAAAACCTCCAGCCAACAAGCAACCAGCTTCAGAGCTGGCAACATCAACAACATGCAGCTGCAGCTGCACAACCAAATAGACAAGTGTGGCTCCCACTCTGTCAGCTCTACAACCAGAGCACATGAGCAGACCCACACAGTGGTGACCCCCAAGCAACCGCTCCAAGGCACAGAGCACAAAGGCGGTCCACCCACAACCAACATTGCAGGAGACCATGGTCCATCACCACAGTGACACCCAAGTTCCCAGCCTGGTTCCCAAGAACCACCAACCTATGGCACAGCCAATGCCACAAGACTCGTACCCAATGAGGTGCCGTTGTCCTTGGATAGGACCAGCCTTGGTCCAACCATCACCAGTCCATTTGCCAGGAGCCCACCAACAGATACCCTCTGCTCTTGTGGAATCCATGGGGAGCAACACAGCAAGCACCTTTGACCAAGGCAGCTTTGGTGTCTCCTACCCAGAGCTGACTGCCATGGTTCGCCTCCCAGAAGCTGACCCACCATGCTTTCTACCCCAAAGCTGGCTGCCATGGCATTAGTGCATGGCAATGGACCAATCCGGTGACGCCCCTGGATTTCGGACGGGCAACTAGACTAAGTCCCTGTCTGGTACAGCCCATCCATCCCATCCGTCAAGGGACATGATTGCGGGGCAAGAAGGCCGCTCCACTGAGAGCTTGCCACCGCTGAATTCTGGCCTGTGGCAAAGCCACGAATATTTGTTTACATATGGAGAAAACAAACAACAGCTATGATAGCAACCAGCACCGCCGACACTACCGAGTCTGGCCATGCTGATGAAGCACGCAATCCCTTTGCGCCTACCTTTGGTCCAGCAACCGACCAACCATGCAAGTCCCTCCACTTGTGAGATCCCCATCTCACCTTGTGTTCCACTAGCAGCTGATGCTGAGTGGCCCATGAATGTTCGTTCATGGGGAGAGTATGTATTGTAGTTAGTTAGTAACTAATCGTATATCGTGGCATTCCCATGAGAGGGGATCCATACGCACTCGTGGGAGCGATAAACTTTTAGGAGCGAGAGCTCTGGATCCCGTCGAGATAGCTCCAACAGCTATCTGGCCTACAGCTCCGCACCCACAGCTGGCTTATCTCCAGCAAAGCAGCAAGAAGGATCGTCCTTTCTACCATAGTTAAGAAAATTGTACGAAAGATTGAGACCGATCCTGATTAGCTTTTAGCCCCTTTGAAACCGCAGCAGTTGATACCTATCTGTGTGAGGCCGGGCAGAAGCAGTAGGAGGTAGCAGATAGTACTGTTCCCAGACTGCCACTGCACGATTTAATAACGAAGGCCCCAGCTCCTGAGGAGAGCTGCCCCAAAAGGGCCCAGCAGAGAGCCCTGCTGGCCCTCCTGTCTGACTGACAGGACCAAGTCCTTGGTTTGGTGCCTACTGGAGGAGTTGAACACT